GCGCTGGTTGGAGGGCGAATTGACAGGGTGCACGGTGGGCGCGGCGGTAGCGGCAGCGCCGCCGGGCGCCACACGCAGCGTGTGTCCCGGCGCCACCCATCTTCTGCACGGCGCACGACGGCAGTGGTGAAGTCCGTATACGGAGTGGTCTTCTGGAGCGGGATGATTGGATGCCCACTGGCTACATGTTGTGCTCGTTTGCGCCGTCCCTGAGCTGATGCGCGAGGTCAAGCGTCAGATGGCGCCAGCTGGTCGGACATGTATTTGATGTGTTGCATGTTCCTCTTGCATGTCGGACGTCGACGTGGAATGCATGAGCACCTTGACGACCACCTGGCGCTAATGTTATCTGTCAGCCTGCCATTGGTGCTACAGCGCCTTGCGAATGATCGTGCCTGACAGAACTATGCTCTAACAGAACTTCAGCTGAGCTGAGCTGAACTGTTAGAGCTGTCCTCAGCGATGGCCTGGTTCGTTGTTACGTGATGTCACGAACTGTGCCTGTCTTGACATAATAGGATCGAAGCTCACGGCTGGCTGATTTTCCATTGCTACCATGTGGACGCCGGTCACAGGCTGCCGGCACAGAGCTCCTCTGTTGTTGGCTTTGATGTCAAACTCTCACACGGACCTTACCTGGCCAGTTTTCTCTGCCAAGCTCTCTCTTTAGCCAGCGTGTACGAATCAGTCACATAACCCACTGTTATTAGCCGTGACCACTCACGTGGCTTCAAGAAGGTGACCACCGTACCGCACGTTCAATGATGTATCAGTTGTGATGCATAAACCACGTCAATGATGCTTTGCTGCGTTCATGATGTATCCATAACAATTCGCTAGTCATGAACATGCGTGTGGCAGCGTGCATTACTCTTAACATGTGGCTGCAGTTTTGCGTGACTGTCAGCGTCCGCCCGCCTCCCATGCTGCCGCTGTCTATGCAGGAACGCCTCTCCAGGTGGCGGCTGAGCGTAACCGCCTATGGCTGTCACATCCTGAAGCCACGGCTGGTCACCTACACGGTCAGGGTCATCCTCTCCAGGTGGCGGCTGAGCATACACGCGCTATGGCTGTCACATCCTGAAGCCACGGCTGGTCACCTACACGGTCAAGGTCATCCTTTCCAGGTGGCGGCTGAGCATACACGCGCTTATGGCTGTCACATCCTGAAGCCACGGCTGGTCACCTACACGGTCAAGGTCATCCTTTCCAGGTGGCGGCTGAGCGTACACGCGCTGATGGCTGTCACATCCTGAAGCCACGGCTGGTCACCTGCACGGTCACGGTCGCCCTCTTCTTTGATCCTTCTGCATCGCTCCATATTAACAGTACCGTCATTATCATCGCCACAACTGTCACCACCATCGCCACAATCGTCGTCACCATCACCGCAACCGTCATCATTACCGCCGCAACCATCACCACGGGACCATCGCCGTCATGCGCATCATCACCACCACTCAACCATCGCTATGAGCGCCGCCGTGTCCCCGCCAGCGCCTGAGTGCCGTAACGCGCCTGCCGCAGGTGTGGAGATGCCGCAGCTGCAGCTGACCGTCTGTGCTGAGGCGCAGCTGACGGCGCCGCTGCGCCGCTGCGTCGGCGGCTACCTGCGGCGTACCGTGCTGGGCGTGACGTCACTGCTGGCCGCCCAGCTGACCTGCCGGCTGGCCGACACGTGCGGCATCAGCGTGTCGGGTGAGCGCCACACCCACCCGGGATACGGCGACGAATACGGCGACGGAGACAGACGGGGAGGGAGGCGGAGACCGAGACCGAGACCGAGACCGAGACCGAGACCGAGACCGAGACCGAGGACCGGACGCGGACGCGGACGCGGACGGCGGACGGGGACGGGACGGACGGGACGGGGACGGGGACGGGGACGGGGACGGGACGGGCGGGGACGGGACGGGACCGGTAACGCGAGGCAGATACGAGCGAAGAGGAATGAACGAGTTGAAGAGTTGAGACGGGACAAACGATGGGAAGGGAAAGTAGAGAGGGCATGGGGGCGGAGGGTGCATGGGAATGGCTAGAGCAGGGATGCGGTGTTAGGGGACGCGGAGGAGTGGGGGTTGTATGAGGGGTGCAAGGATTCGGGCGGGTAGGGAACGGATAGAAACATGTGAGATGACAGCTTTAGGGAGGGACACAGACGGCACAGTCAATCGAAAAGTGGTGTGATGCTCTCGGACCATCTGAGGACTTGAGGGACCGGGAAACGGGTGAGGCTGCGACATGTTGCAGTGGAAGGTCCCAGGCCGCGTCCTAGCTGGCTCAACTACATTTGAACGGCCAAGATCCGGGAGTTACGTTATCTACGGTAAAGTTAGAGCTTCTCTTAAAGCCAGCACTCCTCGCGCCGACAAGGCGCTGCTTGCGCACGGCCTGGGGCCTTCGTCTAAGTAGCACGTGTATATCACGTGTCTTGTATTGTGGCACGCTCGCTCGTTACATAACGGTCCCGTGAGCTGGTCGCGGCTTGACGAAAGCTGCTCTGGCTCAGACGGTGGCTCCCGTACAGCGCATTACCTTGTGTATGCGGCAGCGGAGGTGGCCCAGCGCGAGGTGGGCGCCGACAGCCGCGTCTCGCTGGAGGAGCTGGTACGTGCCGCGCTGGAGCGCTCGCTGGCCGACGGAGGCGTCACCTCCGGCCAGCTGTCCCGTTGCCAGCAGCGGCTCTCGCAGCTGGAGACGGCCTGGCGCAACCACTCGCTGGTCAGGTGGGTCCGCTGCAGCCGCCCGCGCCCACTGTCAGCCTGCTCTGATGCTCTGCTCTGTTCTGCTCCGTTCTGCTCTGTGTTCTGGTGGGATGTCGTGAAAGTCAGACGAAAAAAGGGAAGCAAAGGTCACGCCCATGATGAACTGTATAGGCAGGCGATGCAGGTATACCAATGGCTGATGCGCTGTAAAAGCTACGCAGCCACTCGGATAAGTGCCCTGCAGCCCAGAGCGCCATCGCCGGCGCCGTCTGCGAAGCGCGGTTGTTGCGCGTCGTCGCCCGTCCGCCGGCACTGACCTCGGCCGCTCCACCGGCAGCGCGTGCCAGGAGGAGTTGAGCCAGTGTCACCGGTCGGCGGAGCGGTACCAGCTGTCGGAGGCGGCGCATCTCTGGCTGTACAGCGACCTGCCGGGCACGGCCTGCGCCGGCCGCGACCTGGTGCTGGATCAGCTGAGCCGCGCCATCAGCGCCGCCAACCGGTGAGGCGCGCAACTACCGACGGCCGCCGCCGGCCGGCAACAGCCTGCGGCGGCGGTGTTGAACTGCCTTCACTGCCGATGTTGGCTTGTAGCTCGTGCTCCTCTTAAGCTTCTGTGATGTGACATTCAATATTTTGTCTTGCTCCACATCTTCCCCAGATGCTTGTTGCCCTGGGACCCTTGATCTGACCTGACCTGGCTCGCTCTCTTCCCCAGGTGTCCTCAGTCATGGGACCTCTAACGTTTGCTCTGCCCCGTGACATGACCTGATATGTGCTGCCCCGATCTCGCCCTTCGTCCCACAGGTTTTCGCCGCCATTTGACCCATGACATGTGCTTGACCTGTGGCCTGACTTGACCTGTCATCTCCACAGGTGTCCGCCGCTGTGGGACCTATCGGAGGAGTTCTCCCAGCTGTCGCAGAGCGTCGAGCAGCGACTGCGCTGGGCTGCCGGCGCCAACGCTGAAGTGACCCAGGTATGACCCTCTCCTACCGTTCTTGCCCCCCGCCGCTCCCTTCCACGTCCCCACGGCCGAGCTATGCTGGCGGCGTTGGCCTATGGGTGCGCCGGGATGGTCTCCTGACCGGGGTGGGTGGTGGGGTGCACTGTTGGTGCGGCGAGACTACCTGGCCGAGTGGGAGGGCGGGCTCGGGTCCGCGAGCGATAGCGCCGGCAGCGGCAGCCGGCAGCGAGCGATAGAGCGCATCGAGCAGCCTAAATCGTTGGCTACCTTCGGTGAAATAGTGAGGGACCAGAGCGCACTGGATGAGCAGCCACCACAATAATGACATCTATGTACAGTACCTGATGTTTATTGTCGTTGCGCCGTGCAGAGCGGTTTATCCGGTAGTCTTGCAATATTGGGCAGAGACTGTCCTGATTAAAGAGTGAACAAATACGAGAATGGCCGGCTGCATAGGCGGACTCGGTGCTTTGGTTCTCACCTGTACGGAGCGCCGTGCAGTAGCTTTGTGTCCACGTCATGGCATGGCTTTCATGTGTCGCGTTAATCTCGAAGGCAGCGTAGTGCGCGAATCACGTGTGAGCACCCGTAACTGCCGTTAGGCCACACTGAACCACTCTGTCGGGAGCCCCTGAAGCGTAACTGCGAGCCCGCGGTCTGAGTCACCGCCGCTGCGATGCATGTACCGCCGCTGACGCCTGACACGGGCCCCTTGACCTCGCGGCTGGCGCCGATGGCCCGGCGTGGGAGGGCCGCATGTACCGCCGCTGACGCCTGACACGGGCCCCCTGGCATCGCGGCTGGCGCCGATGGCCCGGCGTGGGAGGGCCGCATGTACCGCCGCTGACGCCTGACACGGGCCCCCTGGCATCGCGGCTGGCGCCGATGGCCCGGCGTGGGAGGGCCGCATGTACCGCCGCTGACGCCTGACACGGGCCCCCTGGCATCGCGGCTGGCGCCGATGGCCCGGCGTGGGAGGGCCGCATGTACCGCCGCTGACGCCTGACACGGGCCCCTGGCATCGCGGCTGGCGCCGATGGCCCGGCGTGGAGGGCCGCATGTACCGCCGCTGACGCCTGACACGGGCCCCCTGGCCTCGCGGCTGGCGCCGATGGCCCGGCTGGGAGGGCCGCATGTACCGCCGCTGACGCCTGACACGGCCCCCTGACTCGCGGCTGGCGCCGATGGCCCGGCGTGGGAGGGCCGCAGTACCGCCGCTGACGCCTGACACGGGCCCCCTGGCATCGCGGCTGGCGGCCGATGGCCCGGCGTGGGAGGGCCGCATGTACCGCCGCTGACGCCTGACGCGGGCCCCCTGACCTCGCGGCTGGCGCCGATGGCCGGCGTGGCGAGGGCCGCGTTCGATTCCTTCCGCAGCAAGCTTTCTCTGACCCACTTCGGACAGGGTGGCGACTCTGATCATCATGGGTAGATGCAGATTACAGCAGATAGCCGAACAGTGGTTTCCTGTTATGGCGACAGCCCGTGCCGGGAAGTTCAACTAACGTGCTGACTGCCCGCGGTGCCCGTCTCACACCCGGCGTGTCTGGTGTTAGGACCCTCTCAATTGGGTGGTCGCAGCACAGCCTCGTATGCCCACGTTCCCACGCTAATTTGATCGTTGTTGAGGCTCACGTCCCCTGAAGGGGTCGACGACTGAAGTCACGTAGTCGAAAGAAGCTGGGCCTTGTCAGAATATATCGTAGCAGCTGCTTGATATTGTTGTTAAACCAAGCCTTCTAATGTATTCTAGGGTAGGTTCAGCATAGGAACTCTTGAAGACGAAAAGGGAATCTACCTGCCTGCTACCTACCTGCTTATTTCAAAAATGACCGATGATATGTCACTAGATGTATATGGATACACACGTGGATGTATGCGCACACGTTTACATGCTTACACATACGTTAACAATACATACACGCACACAATAATGGTCGCCGCTGGCAGCCCATAACAGCGCCCGCGACAGCATTGTCACACGCAGTGACGTCAGTGTCAGTCGGTGTCAGTGTGACCCAGAGTGCTCTGTGCTCATCCGTGCTCTGCCGGCGTCAGCTGCTGGAGGAGTACACAGACTGTGGCAGCGGTGTCAGGCCGCGTCTCCCGACCTGCGCCGCCTGCTGGCCGCCGTGGCCGAGCTGGGCCGGGGCGTGCTGCACGCCGAGAGGCTGAGGGGCCGCGCGCCGAGCCGGCCGCCGAGGACTCCCGCTTCATCCAGGTGAGACCGGGGCTGCCGAGGACTCCCGCTTCATCTGGGTGAGACCGGGGCTGCCAAGGACTCCCGCTTCATCCGGGTGAGACGGGGGCTGCCGAGGACTCCCTTTATCCGGGTGAGACCGGAGGCTGCCAAGGACTCCGTTTCATCCGGTGAGACCGGAGGCTGCCGAGGACTCCCGCTTCATCCAGGTGAGGCCGGAGGCCGCCGAGGTGGCGAACTCCGTTGGGGTTGAGACGGACCGGCCAAGGGAAATATGAGGGGAGGGGTAGTTGGCTGTGGTAGAGAAAAGGAGAAGGGGGATAAGGCAGTGAGCTGAGGAAAGACAATGAGAGGAGAGTCATAAGTGAGTGTGGACAGTTGGGCCGGTCGCTGGTACAGTGTGTGGCCAGGCGTGTTTGAACTGAGTAGCTGTGTTGGCGGTGTTCTGTCGCCTGTCTGACCCGCGCGTGGTACCAGCAGCTGCTGGGGGAGGTGCAAGAGGCGGCCCGGCTTTCCGCCGAGCTCGGCCAGACGGTGACGCCAGTGGAGCAGGCGCTGGCTCTGGCCGTGGCGCCGACCGACCGTATGTCGCCCGCCTGGATCACCAAGGCCGCCGCCACACTCCAGGGTAACAGCCGCGCCGCCACTGGTCTGACCTCTCACCCGGCTCGCTCCCTCCGCTCCTCTACCTCCCCGTCACCCAAACATCACACGGAGATGGGGTCGCCCTACTACCCAAAGGATTTTGGGGGCAATGCTGCTGACCATGCTTGACCTCCACCACCACCAGCTCTGTTTGCCAGCTTTGATTTGAAGTCTTGAACGGTTCTTACTGACATGTTACGGTATTTTTGGACCCGATCTGAACATGACGGTTTGTGCTGACCTCCGTGGACCCGGGCCGAGCCCCCAGCTGATGCCAACGAACTTGGGTGGATATGAATAAACGCTGGTGTTTACAGCCAGGCATGTACTGAGGTACAACTGTTGTCAGCACGTGCACCGACTTACATATTTGTACTGACCGCCGCTGCACACGCGCCGACCTCTGCTGAACTCTGCCGACCTCGGCTGACCCTAGTGACCTCGGCTGGCCCCCGGTGACCCCAGAGCTGCAGCAGACCACCCAAGAGGAGATTTCAGAGCGCCAGTCTGAGCTGTTCGTCTGCTGGGACGACATCCGGTCGCACGGCATCAGAGTGCGTGACCTGCTGACCTCGCACCACAAGCTCATCTCCGACGTCCGCCTCCTTCTCAAGGCCATCGCCAAGGTCAGCTGGCTGTGTGTGTGTGTGCGCGTGCGCGGAGCATGTCCGCCTGTTAGTCACGGGTAGAGACGGCTTCAGATGCGATGATGGGTGCACTGAGCGTGCCCTCTCGCGGTGTTGGTGCGTTTCCTGAAAGGTGAGGAGTGTGCGCGTTCGGTGAGCAGTTGAAGACTGGCTTTCTTGTAGCTGGCAGACTGGTGCGAGTGGCGGGGCAGGGAGTCTGGTTATTCATGGGGATAACTCGCGGATTTTATGCACGTGCCCATCAGGGAGGCACCCTCAGACGACCGCAGTATTGCAAACTTCCTTCTTCTCGACTTCCTCGCAGACTTCCTTCGACTTCGTCGCGGGATGTGTGCGTTTTCTTTCTGTGACCGTTTTAAAGCATTCGTGTTATGAATAAGAATCAGGGCGCAGTCGTCTGGTGTGTCAATACGCGTGGGTGATGCAGCTGATTTTCAGGGAGCTTTTGACAGAGCCCGCTCGTGGGGCTGGCCTCGCTGCTCGACCAGCTGTCCCTCTGTATCCAGCTGTCTGTTGTCAGCTGACTGTTGACCTGTCTGTGCCCGCCTACTGTCATGGCGCTGGGCAGCCGCGCGCCGCCCTGCTTTTACCGATCGTGCCGATGTGTACCCGAGTGTACCTCGGTACGTCCCAGACCTCCCCCGTCACGATTGCTGCGTGGAGTACATCTGGTGTACCTGACCGTCCGTGGGGGGCCGAGTGTGCGGGGCCTGCCGTACCTGAGCGTGGTGACCCGGCAGGCTTCGGGCGACGAGCTGCCGGCAGTGGAAGTGTACATGACGCAGTACCGCGCCTTCTCCGAGGAGCTGAGCCGCCTGATCCGCAGCCTGCTCAACGAGACCGTCAGCCGGGAGCACGTGCTCGAGTACCGCGCTCAGCTGGCCGGCAACAGCAGGGCACAGGTGAGGTGCCGCTGGGGCCTCACGGTCGGTGCGGTGCTGATCAGCTCCGGTTTGTACCACGCTGACCCGCTCGGCCACGCTGGCCGGCCGGGCTTCGGTCAGAGCTCCGGTCTGTACCACAGGTGCCGCTTTAGGTATTGGGGCTGTGACGTTGCATCGGTGGTAACTTGCTTTCACATTTGCTATGTCCGGTATCGATTTATCGTGTATGTGCCGCCGATGTGGTTGGATGGAAACGGTGCCGCGCGTGCGCGCCGTCCCGGCCTGTGACGTCACGCTGTTACCCTTCACGCTTCACACTTTGCTTCACGTCACACTTCTCTGTCGCAGCGGCCATCTACGACACTCTGGTGTCGCTGGCCGGCCAGTTGTCGACGCTGACGTCCGAGGAGAGCCGCCTGACGCCACGCGAGAAGCCCGTCCAGAAGGACCCCCTACTGGACGCGGTGAGAGGGCCGGCCGGCGGCGCGGCCCCGGCCCGGCCGCGTCGGCTGTCGAACCGGCGGCGCGGGCGGTACATTGCTGGCGCAGGGCTCAGCGATAGGCGGCAAGTGAATAAGTGAAGTGTCGTTTGTGGAATGATGGATGGTGATGGCAAAAGCATGCTGTGTTGCGTGGAAGCCGACGGGCCCTGTGCCTGGCCAAGTCTGGCAGGTGTAAGGTAGATATAGCTTCGGCCAGTCCGCGGGAGGGGTGTGTCCTATCACCGTGCCGCATGCGGCGCCGCGTCCACGGCTGACCCCGGCCGTGCCGTTGCGACAGGCGTGCAGGGCTGCAACCAGTACGCGCTGGCCGTGTGGCGTCGCGTCCGTCAGAAGCTGGAAGGTCGCGACCCTGACCCCACCCGGCCGGCCAGCGTGGCCGAGCAGGTCAGAGCCGGCGCTCCACAGACGCCGCGCGCCGCGCGCGCCCGCTGTGAACAGCAGCGCACATGCGCAAAGCGTATATGTCGATCCTGCGTGTGTGTCGGTGTATGCCATTCTAAACGTTATATTTGTGCAAGGTGTGTGTAGATCAGGGTAGTCGGTGCGCCCTTAAGCCCAATCATGAATACTATCGCGAAGTTTATGTGTGTGTGTGCGGGTGCGGGTGCGGGCGGGCGGGCGCGGGCGCGGGCGCGGGCGCGGGCGCGGGCGCGGGCGCGGGCGCGGGCGCGGGCGCGGGCGCGGGCGCGGGCGCGGTGCGGGCGGGTGCGCGTGTGCGTTTGCGTGTCGGTGTATGCTATGCTGTAAGTGTAACCAGGCATGCTTATTTTAATTGTACGTACCCGATCACTTGTAGTTACTGTCATTTTGAAAGGTTCTTGGACCCGCAGGTGGACTTCACCATCCAGGAGGCGACTAATGTCACCAACCTGGCGCTCCTCTATGAGGGTGGACGCCATGGGTCTGAGCGCCGCCGCGCGGCCTCCCGAGGAATCGGTGTCTCCACTGGCGCTCGCTAGACGTCGCTAGCAGCGCAGAGCGACCGGCGCCCACCGTCGTCGCCGCTGTCGCCGCCGCCCGGGCCCCTAGCCGGGGCGCCGGGCGAGTCGGCCGGCCCGCTGCGCGTGGCCGGGGTCCTGCGGAGCCCCGGCGCGCCCGCCCGCCCGCCCGGCGGGGCCCGGCCAACGTCCACCGGCCGCAGAGCCCCGCCGGGCCCGCCGCGCCCCGTGCACGGACGCCAGCTCCCGGAGAAGACCAGGCGTGACGCGCCGCCGTGGCGCCGCCGCCGGGACGCCGGCCGACGCGGGAGCGTGTCTGTATGCGTGTGTGGGGAGGTGTGTGGTGTGTGTGTGTGCGGGGGACTCGGCGCCGCCGGCGGCCTGCCGGCCGGGTCGGCTCGCTCGGCCGCGGGTTGGGTCGGAGGTAGTGCCGGAGGGTGACTCCTGTGACCGCCGCGCTGGCCGGGCTGGCAGCCGCCCGCCGCGCTGGCCGCCGGCTCTCTGACGTCACGCCGTCGAGTGACGTTACGCGGAGCGAAGCTGTTTCCGGCGCCCCGAGAGAGCGCACCCGTAAGCCCATCGACTGGGAAGCAGTGGCAAATTTTGATTTTGGCTTCAAGAAAAGGGGAGGGGGCACCCTCGGGGGGTGTTGTCTAAATTGTCGTGTTCTGGTCACTGGTCGAAATACTTCACTTCTGGTATTCTTCTGGCCCGCCCCTGTTTGGGATAGGACTTGCGCAGCTGCTAACGCTTGGTAACTTGTTCACTGTGAAAGGCTTTTAAGATGATGGCTTAACTCCTTTGCGTCCGAAGAAATAGCTCCTTTGAATATACGAAATGCACTTTTCAGCTTGAACGTCCATAAAAGGCTGGTCTTGTGACTAAAATCGGCGTGTCACATGCGATGTATTGCATTTGCGTTACATATTTGGCGCTTTTGACAATGTCATCGAAAATCGCCTTGAACACAAACTCTCAATATGATTTTTTTTTTGGAACCAAATAAATCACTTCGAAGGCATGCAACGTTGTTTTTAATTGTGAATGCAACTGCACGAGGTCCGTTTATCGAACTGGGAGCACGCGCCTTGATAACCAATGGACTGGTGCGCTACTGTCGCCCCCCCCCCCCCTTCAGCTTCCGTGTCGGCCAGAGGGTAAGGGTTCAAGTGAAACAGTGAGGGAAAGTGGAGATGTTCGATGCCGTGATGCACTATTTTGCGGTATCCTTGCATGAGCTGATGTGTGTTAAAAAGCTAGGAAAAGGCAAGGTCCTGACATGAAGCACTGACTTAAGAGAAATAGTGCGCATTGATGTTCGAAGAACCAAATATCAAAGCCATTACGAGTCTTTTTTTACCTTGTCACGTTATAGTATAGCCTCCAACCAAGAGCGGCGAAAATGCTTGGATAAATACTGCAACCTAGCCGCGAGCCTCACACTCACTAATGATCGGTCACCCTGCCCAGGCGCAGCCTATCCGCGAGCCCGATCCTCGCCAGTGATCAGCCGCCCTGCTCAACTGCAGCCTGGCCGCGAGCCCGATCCTCACCAAAGATCAGCCGCCCTGCTCAACTGCAGCCTAGCCGCGAGCCCGATCCTCACCAATGATCAGGCGCCCTGCTCAACTGCAGCCTAGCCGCGAGCCCGATCCTCACCATTGATCAGCCGCCCTGCTCAACTGCAGCCTAGCCGCGAGCCCGATCCTCACCAATGATCAGCCGCCCTGCTCAATTGCAGCCTAGCCGCGAGCCCGATCCTCACCAATGATCAGTCCCCCTGCTCAACTGCAGCCTAGCCGCGAGCCCTATCCTCACCAATGTTCAGTCACCCTGCTCAACTACTGGCCGGTGAAAGCTCCAGCTTGAGTAGCGGCTCGAGGCAAACTAAGTTTGGAGGTAGAATGACGGTGCAAATACCAAAATCCATATACTCGGGTGAACGGATAAGCCGCGGCCTCCCATGCCATCGCGACGACCGTATTTGCTGCTAAGACTATTACTTCCTAGTAGTATTACTACTTAGGGGTAATAGCCTTATTCCTCGGAGAAAAACCAAGGGAACGGAGATATAGGTTCGTTGATGTTTCGGCGACATGCCTTTATCGAAAGGAATATCAGAAGCCTTTCTGCTATTCGTTTCGATAAAGGCATGATGCCGAATATCAACGCATCTATACCTCCACTCCTGTTGCTTTTTTTGTCCTTCTCCGAGGAAAGATGCTATTATGTCTTGTACGGGATTTCCAGCGTTGTGTACCAGATGTAAGTGCTAATTTGAGAAAATCAAAACGGGTCGGAACTTGACGCTTAAATGTAACTTGCAAGTTTACTTAACATACAAAAAACGTACTTCAGTTTACTAAACTTAAGTACGTTTTGCGATACGTTTTGTCCGGCCACGCGCCAAGCATCACGACTTACTCACGAGACCGACGTCAACCAGCCAACTGCAGTGTCTAAAGCTTTAACTGTGAATCATTCTTTGTGTCTGGTGAGTTAAATACACATCCCTTGTCACCGCAATCTAGGGCACCCCGATACGCTTGTCACAGGACTTGCCTAAACCAGTGTTAGCCCTGGCACCATATATATACAGACTAGATAGGACAAGAGAATGGAGTGGTCCGCTTGCTGATAGGTGGAGCCGGCCACCATATTGGTAGAGACAAGAAACATAGACTCGCACTGACGGAGCCATCGCAACGCGTGGGGCGGGGAAGTCGCTGTGTAAGATCGCGGAAGCAAAATTAAATCTAGAACTGATTTGAAAGAGTTTAACGAGATAAAGCCATATGTAACGATCCTCAACATCTTTGTCTTGTATTTCACTGATCGATGTGTACCTGCGTGAAGAAATCCCTGCCGCCGACCTCCATGACCACTGCCAGCGCGGACGGTCCGCCGTGCTCACGCTGGGCGATGGTGGGGCCGCTATCTTCCTGTCTAGCTGTCTACTCTTTAATTCCGCGGGAGTCGGCTGCAGTCGCATCCGATGTGTACGGGCGACATCCGTTCGGAGAGCTTGTGGAGCGTGGCCCGCCCCTGAGGACGACCGCCGCGACCCTGCCGCTGGCCCGGGTAGTTCCGCCGCGACCCTGCCGCTGGCCCGGGTAGTTCCGCCGCGACCCTGCCGCTGGCCCGGGTAGTTCCGCCGCGACCCTGCCGCTGGCCCGGGTAGTTCCGCCGCGACCTGCCGCTGGCCCGGGTAGTTCCGCCGCGACCCTGCCGCTGGCCCGGGTTAGTTCCGCCGCGACCCTGCCGCTGGCCGGGTAGTTCCGCCGCGACCCTGCCGCTGGCCCGGGTAGTTCCGCCGCGACCCTGCCGCTGGCCCGGGTAGTTCCGCCGCGACCCTGCCGCTGGCCCGGGTAGTTCCGCCGCGACCCTGCCGCTGGCCCGGGTAGTTCCGCCGCGACCCTGCCGCTGGCCCGGGTAGTTCCGCCGCGCTCACACCAAGCACCGGCGGGACCACCGCTCTGCCCGGCGTCCGTGGGACAAGTGCTGCAGGGTTCAACCGCCGTTGTGCCGGATTCCGTGGTGGGGCTCCAGAGCACAATATTCGTCACTCTGCCGTGGGGTCGACCACGTCTGGGTGTCGCGGTGACGCGCCGGTGTCCGCGGGTCGCAGCCGCGAGTGTGACGCATCAACGGTCCGAGTCGCTGCCCAGTCTGCATCGTGCGGAGCGTGATTTGCCTTTCACTGCTTTCGCCATTTCCACGGTATGCAAAGACAGGTGACGAGCACAAGTACTTGCCACGCTCAGATGTATTGGACGCCCGAGCAAGCACCCGGCCAGGTCAGGGACTGGTTCACCAGTTTCTTATAATCGAATGAATACTTATGAGAACTCTAACCGGCCTAGCTACTTACACAACACTAATTATCACACAGCAATAACGGGAATAATGTATCCAACCAGCCGGACCGTCACGAGGAGCCAAAAACATCTTCCAATAATATGTCGGAGGTTCACGCATACTTTTTCTAGGAACTGACAGTAAAACTCTGCATTAGCTACGAACAATTATATAGCTAATGGTACAAGACATTGATCGAACATCACGCAATAATGTACATCTTCAACACCGCACATCAAACACAGTCATTTCTTCCCACGAGAATCACCCAGTTCACGCAGAACAGAAGCCTAAACAGATCGCAGGGAACAGGCCGGACGATCCTGACGAGAATCACCCAGTTCGCGCAGAACAGAAGCCTAAACAGATTGCAGGAACAGGCCGGACGATCCTGACGAGAATCACCCAGTTCACGCAGAACAGAAGCCTGAACAGATCGCAGGGAACAGGCCGGACGATCCTGACGAGAATCACCCAGTTCACGCAGAACAGAAGCCTGAACAGATCGCAGGGAACAGGCCGGACGATCCTGACGAGAATCACCCAGTTCACGCAGAACAGAAGCCTAAACAGATCGCAGGAACAGGCCGGACGATCCTGATGAGAATCACCCAGTTCACGCAGAACAGAAGCCTGAACAGATCGCAGGGAACAGGCCGGACGATCCTGACGATCGGAAAAGTGTGGGAACTGCAGGAAAGGGTGTCTGCTGGTTATGCCACCAGACAAATGAAGACAATATCAGAGCCTTCAGGTGCCTAATGTCCTCTAAACAGCACTGCTTCAGTCATTTTTTGCGGATCCTGCTCCATTGCAAGCATGCATTGTGCAGCTTCGCCTGGTGATGAAGACACAGGCGCCGGTAGATGACCACCAGAATCCTGATCAGCTCAGTGCGGTGGTTTTCCAAACCGTTCTAAGTTTCCAGAGGGTGGTGGCCGGGATCTCGCACGTCAATGATACCGATGCAGCACTTCACCACCGCACTCTCCAGCATCCGCTAGGGCACTTCATGGTAAGCCGCGTCCTACTACACATTGCGGCGGCGGAGCTCCTCTTAAGCACTCAGGACCACCTCCCCACTGCTCCTGCG